TCCACCACCACAAAGATAGAATCTTGCCCCTGAGACTTAGGTAGGCCTTCGATGAAGTCCATAGAAATGTCCTCCCAAATGCGGTCCGGTATAGCCAAAGGTTGGAGAAGTCCGGCAGGGGCGGCTGTGAGGTGTTTGTTCCTCTGGCAGGTATGACATTGTTCCACATAGGTTTTGATCGTGGCTTTCATACCTGGCCAATAGAGTTCTCCGGTTAGGCGCTTGTAAGTCCGTAGGAATCCCGAGTGCCCCCCAATCACTGAATCGTGATACATATGTAGGATTGCGGGTAGGAGGGAGGAGGTGCGTGACACAACCAATCGGTTTTTGTAGCGAAGCACGCCGTGTTGTAGAGAATAGGGGGGACGCTCTCTGAGTCCCTGTGAAAGTCCTCCAAGATCTTGGTGAATTCCGGATCTGCTGCCACTTCTGACTTGATTACTTCTACATCCAATAAAGCTGGGGCCGACAGAGATGCTAGATGGCTGACAGGGGTCATGCGTGAAAGGGCATCTGCGGCTTTATTTTCCAATCCCGGTCGGTATTGAATTTCGAAGTCATACCCCAACAACTTCGAGACCCATTTCTGGTATTCAGGTTGAATGATCTTCTGTTCCAGCAGGTACTTCAAGGCTTGTTGGTCAGTCCTGACAATGAACTTTTGACCTAGCAGGTAGGGGCGCCACTTTTGGATAGCAAGGACAATGGCCATCAACTCCCTCTCGTAGATGGGCTTCAACTGCACTCGTGCCGACAGGGTGTGGCTGAAGAATGCCACTGCCTTCTGCTTTTGAGAGAGAACCGCCCCTAATCCGAACCCTGATGCATCGGTTTCAATAACGAAGGGCAAAGAAAAATCGGGCAGTGCCAAAACCGGTAAAGTGACCATTGCGTTCTTTAGTCTTTCAAATGCCTCTATAGCTGCAGGTGACCACTCATAAGAATCCTTCTTCAATAGTTGTGTCAGGGGGCGGCCATGGCTCCATAATTGGCCACAAACTTGCTGTAATAGCTCGTCAAACCCAAGAAGCCTCGTAATTCTTTGAGATTTGTAGGTCGCGGCCATTGGAGCATAGCACGTATCTTTTCTGGGTCAGCTTCCACCCCTTCTGCAGACACCAAGTGCCCCAAGTACTCGATTCTCTCCTTGGCAAATTGGCATTTCTTTAGGTTGGCGCACAGGGAGTGATCCTTCAGGATGTTGAAGGCCATCGACAGATGGCGGATGTGGGAATCTGCATCAGAGCTGTAGATTAAGATGTCATAAAAAAAAACCAAGATGAACTTACGTAGAAAGGGACGGAATATCTGGTTCATGAGGGCTTGGAAGGTGGCTGGTGTATTAGTAAGCCCGAAGGGCATCACCATGAATTCATAGTGACCCTCATGAGTTCGGAAGGCCGTCTTGGATATATCCTCTGGTGCCATCCGGATCTGATGGTAGCCTGACTTAAGGTCAATTTTCTAGTACACCCGCGAGCCATGTAGCTCATCCAACAACTCTTCAATGACGGGGATAGGGAACTTGTCGGGTATCGTAGCGTTGTTCAGGGATCTGTAGTCGACGCAGAACCTCCAACTCCCATCTTTCTTCTTAACTAGGATCACGGAACTTGAGTACGGGCTGGTGCTGGGACGGATGATCCCTGCCTCTAGCATTTCACTGATCAACCTTTCTATTTCTGTTTTCTGCGCATGGGGGTAGCGGTAGGGCCGGACATTGACCAGTTGCTGTCCCTCCTTTAGCTGGATTCGATGGTCAATGCTGCGGTGGGGAGGCAAGGTGGAGGGTGTTTGAAAAACCTCTGGGTATTCGGAGATCAGGTTCCTAACGTCTCTCACCAACCCGCTGCCCACGACGGCCTCGAGGTTCCCCTGTTCTTCGGGTTGAGCTGTAATGGCTCTGAGTTCAATCAAATAGCCCTGATCATGTGTCTCCCAGGTTCGTGCTAGTTTCTTGAGTGTGACTTCCATCCTCATTAGTGTGGGGTCTCCCTTCAAGATGATTTTGTGGCCCCCCTTCCGGAAGGACATGGTGAGAGACTGCCAATCCACCTCCATTGTGCCTAAGGTACTCAACCACTGCATTCCCAATACCACATCTAGGTTGCCTAATTCGAGGGGAAGGAAGTTCTCCTTGATAGTTAGTTCGGGTAGGCAGAGAACCATACCCTTGCAGATCCCCTTTCCTCTCACTGCTACGCCTGTCCCCATGATCACTCCATAGTTCAATGTCTCGTGTAGAGGGAGGTTGAGGGCTTCTACCAGTTTCTGAGAGACGAAGTTGTGGGTAGCCCCACAATCGATCAGGATCACCACCTTCCTATCCTCAATCTTTCCCTTCAACTTCATGGTTCCGGGTGTTGAGAATCCCACCACTGTGTTCAAAGCCAACTCTGCAACCTCCTCTACCATTGGTGTCTCGCTTCCTCCCGTTTCCATGTTTTCTTCTTCTCGATTGATGTCCATTTCTTCATCGTCGTGTACCACAAAGACCTTCAATTCCTGACTTTTGCATTTATGACCAATGCTGTATTTCTCATCGCATCGAAAACAGAGCCCCTTTTTCCTTGCGCCGCTGGTACTCTATTTCGGTAAGCCTCTTTTGGAACGGCTCCTTTCGTATAGGTTGGGTAGTGGGGTACGTTTTACCCGAAAGGGTAACTGTGCGGGTTGTCAAAGACTCTGCGGCCTTGGGGACAGTCTTTGGCGTGTTGGCCAAGCCTTGGGGCTGCGGTTGGGCCCAGGGTCTTCTGGAGTGTGGACCGAGGTGTTTCTATCTTCAATCAGC